CTTTCTATCTGTATGATATTGGGCAAGTCATTTGCCATCTTCGGGTCTTTTTCCTCAGCTGCCAAATGAGGGGGTTGGAAGAGATGGCCTCTAAGGCCCCTTCCAGTTCTAAATTTATGATCCTATGATCTCTGATCTCTTGGGCTCTTTGCCCTAATAATCCCCTCCTGCCAGCAAGGCACTCCCAAGTCACCTCTGCCTTGGTTTCCTTCAAGGCACCACCTGCAACATAAAGCCTTTCTTGATCTGTGCTACACTCTAGCCAAGTTGCAAGTGCTCTACCTCCTTCCTCCTTGTATTCATTTTATGTAGATTTTGTTTATTTATATTTACAGATGTACATAAACTATTTGAGGGTGAAGGCTAGTGATTGTGATATAGTGATAGTGAAGTGATTGACTGACGTGCTAATCTAATAAATTAGATGTATTTTTCCATTAAATTAAAAGGCCCAGAGTTTATAGACCAGTCCATAGGAGACCCCTTAAGGGGCAGCTGGGTGGTACAAGAGATAGAATGCTGGGCCTGGAGTCAAGAAGACTCATCTTCCTGAGTTTAAATCCAGCCTTAGACACTTACTAGTTGTGTGACCCTGGGTAAGTCACTTAACCCTGTTTGCCTCAGTTCCTCATCTGTAAAATGAGCTGGAGAAGGAAATGGCAAACCACTCCAGTATGTTTGCCAAGAAAAACCTCAAATGAGGTCATGAGAAATTGGACACGACTGAAATGACTAAATAACCACAGGAGCCATTTGAGAATCAAATAGTCAGCGTGACAGTGGGGTAGACACAAAATACTGTGAAAATCATTTTTAGGAGTAAGCTTTTTAAGTCACTGTACTTGAAAGAAGATGTCTGAGAGGAAAGTTAGACAAAGTGTCATTTAATACTAGCTGAAGCTCACATGTTTGGGGGAAACTATGTTGCCAAAAGCAATTGTAACCTAGAACACCCTTCAGACCAGACAGCGCCCATTCTTCATGGCTACCTTGGGGGAAATTAAGGGGCTGGGTCTAAATGGAGGCCAGATCCTACTGAAATGTCATACACTAAAGGGCTTCGTCCTACACATGGGCCAGTGGGCTCATTTCAAAACGACTGTACTGTTTAGAAGATCTGTTCCCCTCCCCCTCATTTCAATGCCCCTCCCTACAAAAGAAAGTGTGAGAAAAATACTGTATATACAATTGTATGATTTCTTGGCTGAACTTCAAACGGAGTCTTTTCATGTCTCTCCTTTTGTCTCACATGCCTTTCTCCTTTGCTCTGAAAGCAGCAAAATGCAATTGTGCTCCCTCATGCTGAGGGAGGCTCAATTTGACTTGTACCAGCCCTCCTTTCTTCTGTGGTCCCTGGAGACAGCCCAGCAATGGTGAAAAGTCTAGTTTGTAATGACCCCAGGGTGAAATTTAAAAGATGGCGGGGAGGCTGGGGAGGGGAAGTTGCAGTATAGTCGGGGAGGGAACTTCTTATCTGTAAATGTAGTCCATGAGGTTTGCACTTAGCCCTGTGTATGTGCCTTTATTGGGGGTAGTCTACTCCCCCACCCAGAGGACTAAAGCTGTATCCATACCCCACCCCCCTACATAACTGAGCATGAACTGGATAATGTCCCTGATTTTAACTCACTCTCAAACCACTGAATCTAACTATTGATAAAGGAACTCCCCAGTAGCTGTTAGCTTGCTGACATGAGCTCAAAGAGCTCCAACAATACCAATACAAAGCACTTGCTCTGCATGGAAATATTTCTCATGGAGGTATATCTCCCCATTGCCTCCTTCTTCACTTCCTTTCAAGTCATATAAAATAAAAAAGATTTTCTTTCTCAAGTTACTAAAGTCATAGTTTAGAATGGCTTAGAATAAAAGAAGATAAGCAGTAGAAGAGAGCTCAAAAGCTCATCTAGTTATGTCCCCCATTTCTAGGCATATAAACCAGTCAAGGGAGTTAAGTGTGAAATACTGGAAAAAGAGTAGTAGATTCGAAATCAGATTCAATCAAGCCCCAGATCTGAATCTTATCAGCTGTGTGACCTTTGGGAAAAACTATTCAGTCTCTCCGAGCCTTAGTATCTTCATCTGTGAAATGCTAATAATTTCTGCCCTACCCAACTCAAAGGGTTATTATGAGGATCAAAGGAGATAAAATACTTTGGTTTCACTTTTGATGATTTACAGTGTTCAGTGTCTTCAGATGACTCCTTTGAAAAGTTTTTTTTGGGGTTTTTAGGGTTTTTTTTTTGGTTAGGCAATGGGGTTAAGTGACTTGCCCAGGGTCTCACAGCTAGTAAGTGTTATGTGTCTGAGGCCACATTTGAACTCAGGTCCTCCTAAATCCAGGGCCGGTGCTCTATCCACTGTGCCACCCAGCTACCCCATCCTTTGAAGAGTTTCAAGGCATCTTAGAGATTCAACTCCCTACCCAAAGTACTCATCCCCTCTAAAACACAGAAACACAAAAACTCAATTTTCTCTTTTCAAGGTAATTTGAAATGAATTAGGGATTAACCATAACTCACCTAAGCTGATCTCATCTATATTTTGAGTCTCAAAGTGATAATTCCTTAAAGCTTGAAGGCAAGTCACCCAAGTTCTATATGTCTCCATTTTCTGTCTTAAGCTAAATGATGAATTTATAATAGTAAATATGACCCTACTAAAAATCAAGACTCAGGAGGACCAAAAGTTACAGAGATCTGGTAAGCCGGAATTTCCCCGAATTATTTGGTCTCTAGTTCCTTTAGCCTTTGGCTCAGGCAGAAAGAGATTTAAAAAAAAAAAAAAAAGGACTACTTATTCTTGGACTCCATTCTTATCCTGACATGTAGAAAGGAGGGGGATAGGAGCATGATGGAAGGACTGGCTCTTACTACTGTTACCTTGAGCAAGTCACTCAGTATCTCCTAGCCTCTATAAAATGAGCATAATAATAGCATATATCTCACAGGACGATTAGGAGAATCAAATGAGATAATACATGTAAAATTGTCTATAAATGTAAATTACATACGTTCTAGCTATTATCAGATTACCTTTTTAGTGATGGCGAGTTGAGAGGAAGACCCCTTTAAGACTATAACAGGAAAGGCAAGTTTTGAAAGTAGAAAATTATCCATGCTAAAGCCTGAATTAAATACAATAGTGTGAAGCTTAGGTCCTGGGAAGGAATATGAGCACACCAATTATCTAGGGTCAGAGTATAACCAGTAGAAGAATGTTATCATACGGAAAGAAGTTTATGGATTAGACTAGAAATTTGTAGGGGAGGGAAACAAAGAAAAACTTCACTTGTTTCACAATTTTTAGTCCAAATGAAAAAACTGAGGCCTAGAGAGGTTAAGTGATTTGCCCAAGGGTACACAGGTAATAAACAATAGAGCCAAGATTTGAAATGATCTGCTCTCACTCCACATCAAATGTATTTTCAGCTCTACCATATCACACTACCAGTGTTATTTAAATCAGTTATGGGGGGAAAAGGATGTCATGAATTATGAACACATAACTAATTCTTAATTATTTCAAATGGTAAATTGATTTATACAGTATTCTAAGGATTATAAAGCTTCCTCTAAACACTGAGCATAATTTCATTATTATTTAAACAATCTTTCTTACTAACAGAATATTTTTGGATAATTAATAAAACAAACAAGTTCATTCAGATTTGAACTTTTTAAAAAAAGCACATACTTTTCTGTCCCTTTGCTAGTTCATTTTAGTGTCCTCCCATCTAAACCCCTTGAGGCCTGTAGGATGGTTTGGGAATCAGTCATACCTTCTCTGCTGTCATCTGCGTAAAAGCAGTAGATTCAATTTACCTTCATTTAAGACTCATTAACAGGTAAATGGCAACTCTGTCAAACGTAATGCCTCTTGGCGGTCATTCAATGTGGATGCAGACAATCTCTGAGTTCTCATCTCATAGCTATGACTCTCAAAGGACCAGACTGGGTATAGAAAGTCTGCCCAAGTTCAAAGGGATAAAGGGGAAAGTATGATTAATTCAAGTTTATCAATAAAGAGAAGCAATTAAGGAATTCAGTTTAATACAATCTTTGTTTATACTGGGGAAGGAAACCAGCATGGGGCAAGATCCTAGGTATTTCAGGATAGGACAGCAAGATGATCAAATAATCTTATCTGAGAACCAACTTACCTCAGCCCTGTAGATAATTCACATAGACATGAAAAGCCCACACAAACTGAACTCCCCTCCCCAGCCAATGGAGTTGTGCTAGCAGTAAAATAAGTGAAATCAGAAGGTTTTATTATATTCTAACACAAGTTGTGTTCCTGGTGGTACAGGTGAACTTTCCCCTGGACGCTTAAGGTCATATTTAAAGCCAGAAACAAATATTCAAAGACCCTTAAAGTAGCATCAAGAGGGTATAAAATGCGTGTTTGACAAGGCTTAGAGCTTAACTAGTAAGGAGATAGGTACGCTTTCTATCTCCAAAGAAGGCTGTATCTACCTATCCCAATTAAAATGGTTTCTACTTTGCTTATGAAACTGAGCCACAGACTAAAGCAACTTATGTAGAGGAACTGCTGTTCCTCTACATTTGCATGTTAAGAAAAAGAAAAGATGGAAAAGCAATAATACAAGAATGTCAGTGTGAAAAACAACAGGATAGTCAGTTTGGATGCAATTATAGCCACTGGGATCGAAACTGTTGTCATACAATTAGCTGCTTTCAAACAAAAGCATTTCATTTCCTTAAATCAATCATCAATACTGGCACATGGCATGATTAGCTAGGTAACAATTAAATGAATCAGACTGTTAGTTTTCTTTATATTAAAAAAAAACCATAACAATGAATGGAACAGCTCCAATAAGTAGGCTAAGCATCGCTATACAAATTAAATACTCCTATGTTGTACCTTATTATGACATTTCATTAATATTTGAGTTCTATTTTCTTAATAACCTTTTTGAGAAGTAAAATAAACTGACCATTTTGTTATAAAATGATATAGCCCCAATCACTTACCAGCAACAAAACTTGGAAATGAAGCCACCTTCTTTGTCTGTTTGGAAATATTAAAAACAGAGCAACAATAGGTAAGGAAGACTTATTTTATACCATATAAGACAATTATAGTGTTAAGAAATCAAAATAAGTGGTTAGCATTCCCAAGAGATTAGCTATACAAAAATTGCTCCAACTTGAGCAACATCATGTTTGGTTGGGGTACGCGGTTCATTGACTCCCATAGGAAATCAATATCTTGAGTGCCTATATCTTAAGATATGGGTACTCAGTGTAAAATCTTAATGGGCTTAAAATCAGGTTAGCCAAAACAAAGGGTAATGTTTGACAATGTAAATAGCTTTCCCACCACATTGACAACTTAGGAAATTTTAGAGCTGAAAGGAAACCTAGAGATCATAATGTCCAACTCTCTCATTTAACGGACAAGGTCACTGAGGTCCAAAAAAATGGAATGGTTTATTTAAAGCCACACAGTTAATAGGTTACTTATGATTGACATTGGTCTTTAAACAATTTTAAGATAGGAAAGACAAACCTGTTTTGTTAGTTCGGAAGAGTAATGTTGACCATGTGGTAAGAAGTTGCGTGTCACATTGTGAATAAATTGAAATTTGGGGCAAAAAAATCTGGGTTCAAATCTTAGTTCTGCTACTTACTACCTATGTAATAATTGGGCACTTACTAGCTGTGTGGCCCTGGGCAAGTCACTTAACCTTGTTTGCCTCAGTTTCCTCATCCGTGAAATGAACAGGAGAAGGAGGTAACTACTCTAGTATCTTTGCCAAGAAAACCCCAAATGGGGTCAAGGACATGACTGAAAAGGACTGAACAGTAACAACAATAATATGGCAGGTTATGTCTCTTCTCTGGACCTCATAATCTATGAACTGATGCTCCCAGAGGTATGCTATAGAACCAGGATGAAATAATGCTATTATATACAAGTACACTTCGTGATTCCAATATTTGTGTGTGTATACACTATGATTTCATCAATATAGGAATTCCCAGTGTTGGGACAACCTCCAAACATGTAGATCTGCAACGTGTCATCTTATAACTTTACCCAAGGAACTGAGATATCAAGTACTAGTCCAGGATAACACAGTCAGTATTTCAGAGGTGAGACTTCTACCCCTGACTTCCTTAATCCAAGCTGTCTTTCTATCTATTACACCAACCTGGCTCTACTCCTGATTACATGGTAAGAACTTCCTCTTACTCTTCCAACATGAACTCCTTTCCTGGAACAAAACTTGACTTGCTTAGACCCTCCCAGAACCATAATTGTGTATTCACAGCCCTACACCAACCATCAGATAACCATGGTTTCAAATGGTAAAAGTGCTGAACAATAAGCTTGACCAATATTGAAATTTTACCAACCACCATTAACCTAAAAACATGGCCCAGAATGCTATCCTCTTATGAAATTACCTCTTGCATGTTGTTATTGTCGACTGGTCCATTGAGATCAGAACGCTGCTGTTTCCTTGGCTGTTCTAAACTGTTGCAAACCTATAAACAATGAATAGAGAAAGTTCAAATCCATAGTTGTAGTAAGACATATGTGAAAAATAGATCCCAATCAGAATCAGACTAAATGACCAACTGATATTTCATGGTTCTTTCCACAAGGAAAGACATTAAGCTATATTTTTCATCTCTTATGTTAACAGAATGTACTCATTTAACCAAGATTACAATTCATCCCATGATGAATAAAGCAGAAGTTAATGAAAGCACCAATTGATGCTGTGAGTAATATGTAAAGCACATCTTGCAAGCCAGGTTGTAAATCTAAATCCTTAATCTCAGAACTGACTGATGAACCAAGGATTTATTGAGCACATTTCTAGCATTTGCTTGTTGTGGTAGTGATACAGAGATATATAAAACTGTCCCTACCTGTCACAGATCACACATAGGAATCTAGATATTGAAGGGACCGCCATGGAATTTATAATCCAGTTGAGATAAAACTAACACACTTGAAGCAATTATAGAACAATAAATTTCAGAACTGCCTTAAGAGTTAAAATATAAAAAGGGTTCAAAAAAGAGATCGGTGTGATCTAGAATCATCACAATAATCACTGAGCTTTAAGGTTTGCAAAGCACTTTACATATATTATCTCTCTTGAGGCATTATCTTACAAAAATAGTCTCTGGGGAAAGCTTTACCAATAAGCCAAGGCAGAGTCTGGACCATAGAAGATAGGAATTAAAGCAGAAATAAAATATAACCACCTCTACAAGGACATGGGAAAGCAGAGGATCTCATTCACTAATGTAAAAATGTATTTGTTATCCTTAGATAAGAGACGTGCTTATAGTTTTCTCTTAGTGGTCACTTCAACTCTGTTTGCTTAAATCAAACAGATTTCTTTAACAGTTGCAAAAGGATTTGGTCACCTCTTCTTTCCTGTCCTTGAATAAGAAATGTTTTCTCATTCTGATAATAAATCCTGCAGGTTACATTACAAATACTGCCCCCCCTTTTCTCCCTTGAATAATTCCTCTTTTCTCTACATGTACCTCTCTTGGGAAAGGTTTTACTTATGTATCCTAAATTGCCACAAAATGCTGATGACTGGCTGTGCTTTAAGGAGGCCTGAGAAGTCATAAAAATCCAATCTGTACCCTAAGAAACTGAAGCTGCTACCATCCCAAGCAGTCATTTTTGTGTGTGAGAAGCCAAATTGAAATTAGCATAGTCCCTTGTTCCTATAAAAAGTGGTGATATAATGTTGCTCTCTGGTTACAGCTCCATTTGTACTTCTTATAACTAACTATCTCTGCATTGGGATGCCTCCTAGATTATATAAAACATTGACCAAGATCCAGTCTAGCCTTCTACCAGAGGCCCTGTTTCCCAAGATTGTCTTAGGGACAGCAGAAAGTAAGTGCTGGGTGTACAATCTTTGTATTTCTTCATTCTCCAGCCAATACCCAGACTGAATCTAGGGGCTTTCACGGAACCTGGTGTCCCTCAGCTTCTCTTCCTCCTTCTGACGAAATAAGCAAATACCCTCCTCCTTTAATTAGCTTATGGACCTGGGTTGATTGCGAGAATGTATGTTTTCAGCATATGTAGTGGGGAACAATGAGTGATAAATTTGTATGAAAGTCCAAATGACTTCACACATTCAAATTATAGTCTTCTACATCTGTAAGAACTCTGACTTTCGCAATCAAACACATTTAGTTATTTCACTGTCTGAACAAAACTCCAAAAGCCACGTTTGGAGGTCCTCAGACTTTCCTGAAACTACGTTCATTAGCTACAGGAAATGAAGGATTGCATGTCCTTTACTGGAAGCTGAACTCTGGTTGGGAACTTCCCACCACACTGTCTAGACGGCCATGCCCGTTTCTCTGCTTCTGATGTTTAAAAATTGAAGGTGGGTTTTAAACATGATAAATCACATTGTGTAGTTATACAGATGAGGCTACAGAGTTAGCAACTATGTAATGAAATATGTTAATATGGTGGCAGTGGGAGATGGAATCCCTTCAGGGTTATGAGAACATAGAATGGACAGACATAAATTAATTATACAGTACCTAGACCAAATGACATTTGTTTGAGGAAGAGATTGTTTGCCTATAATAAAAATACATTAATTTGAATAAATTGTTCCAATAAATATCTTGGTTCCAGTTGGTAAAACTACTGCTTAGAATTTTTCTCAAAGTGTCATGTCCAATCACTGTGTGCTTGATTGAACTGAAAATACATTAATATAGCCCAAATTACTTTGGCTGTGATAATAGCAAATTACTTGTCATAAACTTACATTGCCTGTAATAGATGGTTTCTGATTGCATACCTAGCCAGGAAATATATTTATACATAAATGTGTGTATGTTTGTATATGTAAAGTTTAAAAGTCTGGGGACCAGGAACACTAAATTAAAAATGTAACCATCAACAATTCCCACCACCACCACACACACACAGATACACACCAGAATGTCACATTGTACTTTGTATCATTTCAAGCCTCAGAAATATCAAATTGGATGACTTAATCATTTACATGTTAATTGTGCTTAATTTCTGGTTTCACAGTGGCAATCCCCTCAGCTCACTATTTTTGGAAGACAGAGTTAAGTTATATCATATTTCTGCATTTATGTCTTTATTAAAAATGTCAGCTTGGAGAGACCAAGCTGCACCAGTTCTTGGATCTCAGGTTATACACATAACATAAACTAGTGGGGGCTGATTTAAGTCCCATCTCACTGCACAAATACATTACTCTTTCAATAGTTCTTTAATCTGCTCTTTGTGATATAAGTGTCTCTTAATAAATTATAATATTGTTCTTATACTCCTCTTAAATTTAGGCTGTCCTGATGATTTGTAACTGGAGAGAAATCTGATTAAAGCATCTATTCTGGTAATAAGTATCCTATGAGACTGGCACATCTCTTCAAAGACAAACTGTAGCTTTTTTTAAAAAAAAAAGTATCAACTGAATAAACTCTCTACTTTTCTCTTTAAAAAAATCTCTACGATAACCATCGTGAACGCTGAAGAAGAAAGTCAAAACCTCTTTTCTCCACAATCTGTCCACACTCTCAAATACTAGTATCTGTTAGAATAATTAATAGTAAATCAACAACAAACTTTTTTTTCCTGCCATATAACTTCTTATATTTATAAAGCACTTTCTAATATATCATCTCTTTTAATATCCACAATCACTTTGTAAGGTTGGTAGTGTAAGCATTATGATCCCCACTCTGCAGATAAGCAAACTGAGGCTCAAAGACATGAAAGTGACATGGTTAGCAAGTGGCAGAATCTGAAATGAAATTCATGATTTTAGAGCAAAAAAACAAAAACAAAAAAAACAAAACAGCATTTTATTGATGCATTATGTCTTTATATCCCAGCTATTTCTTGGAGGGGTGGGGAACATCACCCTGGATTGAAAAGCCCCTTGGACCTACCATCCCCACTACCAACAACGCCAACATCAGCTGCTGAACAAACAGCCACCACCAGGGCAGGCACGGTACCCTGCAGGAAAGACAGGCATGTATGTGCCAGAAGAGTCAAACCACCTCAACCACTACCTCCTCTTATACCCTAGTAGAGATAACCTAGTGTTTGGCACAACATAGGAAGGAAACAAGCATTTATTAAGCACCTACTCTGGGCTAGGCACTTTAAAATAAGCACTTTATTATCTTGTTTGATCTTCACAACCCTGGAAGGTGGGTGCCACTGAGTCCCCATTTTACAGTTGAGGAAACTGAGGCAGACAGCAGCTAGGTGACTTGCCTAGGTTCACACAGCTAATAACTATCAGTTTACAAGGCCCATATTTGAACTCAGATTTTCCTAGCTCCAGGCCCAGTGCTCTGTCCACTGTGCCACCTATCTCTTATAATGATAATTAAAGCAATAAGACAAATGTTTTCACACCCATTTACTCATATATTATAAATGTCCCTCCATTATATGATAAGGCCAGGATAAAGGCATTCCTGTGCCAAAGAATCATTTGCAATCAGAATTTTGCTATAACCACAGGAACAAAGGGCAGCTACTATGTGATCTTGCAAAAGTCACTCTTCCTCCCTCTGGACCTCAATTTCGTGAAAAATGAGAGAACTATAGTATAAGAATGTGAAACTATGGCATATGCATTTAATGGAATATTATGATGCATTAAGAAATGTAGAGTATTAAGGAACTCAAAAATGCATAGAACGGGTTGTATAAAATGAAGTATGTATAAGCTTAAGCAAAAGAATGATATCGGGGTGGAGCCAAGATGGTGGAGTAAAAGCAGTGACTTGCTTGAGTTCTCCCCCAAACCCCTCCAAATACCTGTAAAAAATGGCTCTAAACAAATTCTAGAGCAGCAGAACCCACAAAAAACAAAGAGAAACAAATTTCCAGCCCAAGACAACCTGGATGCAGACTGGGAGAGGAACGCAATTCAGTGTGGGCCACACAGGCAAAGACTGGGCCTCAGTTATCTTGGAGCAGGCCTCAGGAGACTGAATCACAGGCAGCTGTGGTGGTTTCCAGACTTCTCAACCCACAAATGCCAAAGACAACTTAGAAGGTGAGTAGGAAAGACAGATCTGTGATCACAGTGAGAGAGAAGCTCGGTCCCAGCCCCAGTCCCAGCACAACCCCAGGGCAGAGGCTATATCTGGAGCTCTCGGCCCACAGACTGAGGAAGAATCCAGTAGCTGATCAGAGGGGGATTGCAGGGATCTCTTTGCTGGTGCTGAGCAGGATTCTCTCGCTTTGCCCATGCTTAGATCTGGGTCACAGTTCTAGGTGGCGGTCCTGGGGTGAGGAGGAGCACTGGCGTGGTATAGCTTGTGATAATAGTGGAGAGGGAATCCTTCTCACAGGTCCAAGGCAGAAAAGAGTGCTTGTGATCACTCATAGACCAGAGCACAGGCCAGAAAAGTAGTAAACATTTTGCCCTTGATTGTATCACCCTGGAAGAACTGAAAATTTACATTTAGAAGTATCTCTGAAA